TTTCTATCTCTCCTCACGATCACCTTTGTTTTAAACAAAGCGCCTTGCCCTTAAAGTCTGATTCACCAATCATAAATATTTGCGCGCAGGACTGGATGTACGAATGAGTGAGGACTTTGAAAAAATCAGCAGATACTGGCGTGAAAAATATATCACCGATAAAAAAAAATTAAAGTTTGTTTAGAGTTAAAGGAGAGTGCTTTTTCGTATTCAGCACACTTGATAACCTGGAAAATTTTCTACTTTTAGCGAGGGGTACCGCCAAAAAGTTAAGAAAAATTTTCAAACAAATTGACGCAGAAAAATCTCCATGGTAAAATCATACAATTTTGAAAATTTTTCTTAATTTTCTGGCGGTACCCCTCGTTAGAAACAGAAAATTTTCGAGGTTATCAAGTGTGCTGAATACGGAAAAGCACTTTTCTTTAACTCTAAATGAACTTTAATTGTTTATCGGTGATATGTTTTCGCAAAAATCATGAATTGTAGACTCTTCACTCTCATCGGACATTTCAAAATTCAACAGAAATAGGCGTGTCAGAACTCAAACAAATATTTGATTATTCTATATCTGTTTGGTTAAAAACACTTGGTCACTAATATAGACGTATGTCTTTATTAGCTTTTGTTCTTTTCTTGAATGGTAACCTGTTATCAAGATAACAAGTTAGATATCAAATAATTTTTACATTTGAAGACATTTTTTGTCACAACACGAAAAACAAGATTGCAAACAGAAGCCAACTGACCTATGTTTAACATTATTCAACAAATAGTTCTGTCTTGTATTTTAATAGCAGCAAGTATGTTTCCTATTCAGTATTCTTTTCTTATTGATACATATGTCTATTGCCTATAGGTAATGGATTACGTTTCTGCAATTACATGCAAGACCATATGGTGCTTCAAAGTGCTCCGCAACGAGCCATTGTCTGGGGCTATGGTGATTTGAATGCATTTACAACATTAAAAATGAATGGTCGTGTGTATCATACAATGAGCGGTAGTAGTCCAGTTAATTCAATCGGGGAAAGCATATGGTCGGTAACATTGGACGCCGAGAGTGAAGAAGGTCCGTTTGAAATCTTGGTAACACAACCATTGGCAAATGGAACTCTTGGAAGCATTGAGTTAAAGGACGTTTTATTTGGCGATGTTTGGGTGTGCTCTGGACAATCGAATATGCAATTTGCAGTCATTGATCTCGGACCATTTAATGCTAGTCAAGAAATCGCTAACGCAATCAACTATCCAAAAATTCGCCTTTTTACAGCTGCTTTAGTACCGTCTGATAATCCAATAGAAGAGCTCTTGGGTATAGCGCAAAACTGGGCTGTCGCATCACCACAAAGTGTTGGAGGTCCATCATATAATTATTTTAGTGCAACTTGTTGGCTGAAATAGTGTCCGTAAATGAAGTCGACAGAATGAGGAAAGTGAGCGGCTCTATTAGCACAGAGTGTTTTTTAATAGTCAATGAGGTAAAACCGTACGTCTTTTGATGAATATTCTCTTATGGGCGCATGATTCACGAAGCACTGGGTCGTCGCCCTTTAGGGTTAATTGCCACAAGCTGGGGGGGTACACCTATTGAGGTGTGGACCCCACCACAGGTTTTGATTGATTGTGGAATAACGACGTAAGTAGTCAGACTTTAATTATATATCTAGCATTCGCACTTATTTTAGTCCACAATCTGTTAACGTTGAACCTTATGGTCCAAATTTTACACCAATAAAATTAAGCAATTCCAATTTATGGAATGCCATGATCTATCCATTTACAAGAATGGTAGTCACTGGTGCAATTTGGTATCAAGGTAGAATAATACGCATGTTTTGTCTTTCATCTCCTTTTTGTAAAACTTGGCGCTTCCTGTGAACAGGTGAATCAAATGCTGGCTATAATCAAAATAAATACGTCTGCACATTTTCAAAAATGATTCAAGCATGGCGAGCAACATGGAATAGTCGAACCCAGGGAATAACAAATCCCACATTTCCGTTTGGTTTCGTTCAAGTATCGTATACAAAAAATATCAGTGGAATAAATTGTAATATAGGTTCTTTTAATGTTTTAGCTTAGTACAAACGAAAACACCGGCACAGTTGTCGGAGGTTTTCCCTTGATCAGATGGCATCAGACATTTGATTACGGGTATGTTCCAAATGATTATTTGGCAAATGTGTTCATGGGCGTTGCAATGGACTTACGAGACGATCCTAATAAGTATGTGTATGAGGAAGAAGTTAATGATTTTTAATATGACTCTATTTTTAACGAGTTTGACTTTTGCGAATTTGATATCAGAAAGTCTTCAAAAACTTGTACAAATGTCTTTTTTATAAAATTTTAGTATTCATCCTCGAACAAAGCAAGATGTAGGATATCGACTTAGTCGAGCTGGACTTGCTGTTGCTTATGGTCAAGCTATTGAGTATACTGGCCCAATTGTGGACAAAGTGCAAGTGAATAGTGCTACCATAGATATAACGTACAAAAGTGTTACAGGAATTGAACTACGAAGCACAGTCGGATTTGAGGTAAGTAAGTTTGCTCTACCACTAACTCAGTTTTCTTTCACTCTCATTTTCAAATTTCTAATTTAGATTTGCTGTGAGGGTGCATCTTGTACGAACGATAATGTATGGGTTCCAAGTCCAGCATCGTCAACCGGTGCCTTAAGTATTGCATTAACCATACCTAGTTCATGTACATCAAAACCAGTATATGGCTTACGATATTTATGGCGAGAAACACCATGTCCATTTAAACTGGCAGCAATTTATAGTTCAACAGATGCGAATCTTCCTGCAGCACCGTACATCAAAATTTTTTGAACGATAAATATTATGTATTTAATTAAATTACTTTCGAACATACGTTTAGTTGTTAGTTTGAATAAACGGACACCCCGTACGTGGAACAAAATGTCATACTTTCAGTCAGCTTCTTCGACGAATTTAACTTCTTTATGGTAATCTTCACGGTAACAGGAAAAATAGCAGTGAAAAGCTACACAAAATCCAATTCAAAGTATTTTAAACTGTTTGATTGTACTTTTTACTTATCAATGAAAAGTACTTCGACTACAATGATCATTCATTATGCAAAATTTCGTTGATGAGTCGGTCTGTCTGTGTTTTAGGCAGATTCTCTGTATACTAGCTTCACAGCTTGGCTGAGTAATTTGCGAATAGTTTAGAAACCTGCACATTCAAATACACAGCGAGAAAAAAATGTGCAAGAAGAATGATGAGGCGACAGATAGAAAAACACTGCTTCTGTATTTTAGAATGCATCAGTGTTTTCGTCTAAATTTTCTCTTTTTAGCCGTTTCAGAGTTTTCGGAGATGTTCTACTGGAGAGTTTGGTCTTATAGATTGCGAGCTAGAGTCCTGTAGGTTACGACTTTTTGACAACCCATAACCTAATCGATAAAAATTTCCACAACCTAAATCTAACCTAACCTACCAAATTCGTAACATAAACCTAACCTAACCTAGATTATAACCTATGCATTTTTTTCTCAAAACCTGGTTTCAGAAGCCTAAACTTCAGCTTTATTCCACATTGTTATTGTATCTTATTTAAACAATGTCTGACAGAAGAAAAAAAGCTTTTAGAAAATAAAGATTATGTATATAAAAATACATAATCGAGGATTTTTAATTTTTGGAGGGATGTCGCAGCTAGAGACCTGTACGTAACCCGAATCCGATTCGACTGTCAGAATGCCGACCCTTTTAGATTAAAAACAGGTTATCAATACCGTCATCTATAACGAAGTGTATAACACATTTCATAAGCTACAGGGCTATTGCGAGGTTCTCACACTCTGCATACACTGTAAATCGACATCGATTTTCTACATTATTGGAAATTATTTATAGAAAATCCTCAGGGATTTTATATATGGACTTTTCGAAAATCAAAAAGTCGGATTATTTTCTACTTTCTAGAAAATCGCTGAGGATTTTCTAGATGAGGAAGAACAATTTGAGTGAG